GAAAGAGACTGAGCACTGGTGAGGAGCCCCCAGGGGGAACACTTGGGTGAATAAAGTCCTGAAATCACACCCCTGGTGCAGGCTCACACAGCTCCCACTGGGAACACGTCCACCAGTAAGTGGGGGTCACTTGTGTCCGTGGTGACGGTCATCCTGAGAAAGCACTCAGTCCAGGAAGGCCAACAGGAGTGCTGTGACGTCACAGTGGCAGCTCTGATGGAGGCACAAGCGAGTTAGGGGATTAATTAAACAGCTACTAACCAATCCTTGCCAAGCACCTCCTACCTGCCAACCGCAAAGGCACCTCCTTGCTCACAACGGGATCCGGATATAGTAACACGTGGGCACAATAAGCTAATTTGAGAGGAGAGAAATGAAAATTGGCCTGTGTACTGAGGCCTGAGTTCCCAGAGGAGGTTGATTTGGTGCTGAGTTGTCACACCCGCCTGGGTGCAATCTTAATTTGATGGTGGCCAGCCCCATCTGCTGGCCACCCCCATTCCATGGAACAGACAAAAGAGCTCCCAACCAAAGCTGTAAAGGCACTTGCTGAGTCCCAGAGCAGGTGAAGCACTGAACTGAGTCCAAATCCAGTGCCAGATGCACATAATTTGATGATGATGAGTGTGTGTGAGTGCACACGCATGTGTGTGGTGGGGGGTTGGGGTGACCAACAGTGCTGGTTTGCCTGGAGCTGATGGGTTTTCTGGGACATGGAACTTTCAAGGCTAAAATCAGGAAAGTTACAGGGGAGCTTTCTGAACGAGTCCAGGTGAGTTGGCCACCTGAGCTGGGCATCCTCCCTTCCAGGAGGTATTTGAAAACCTGCGAGGACAGTTTTCTTCTCTCCCCTCTCCCTCCCGCCTCACTCTCTTTCTTTTGTTGCCACAATGCTGGGGGGGGAGTTGGACATCACTGACATTTTGTGGTGGGGCAAAGGATGCTAAACATGGTGCAGTTTGCACCGGGAAGGATGGCTGCACCGAGGGAAGCACAGATGCCTGACGGGATGCACTATATACACATTTTAATGGGCTAATTGATGTCATATACATTTTACAGACCTCCTCCCGAGTTAGCCTTTGTCAGCTTTACAACCCGGAAGTGTGTTTTCCCCCAAAGGTCAGGCAGCCCTCCCTCAGAAATGTAAACCTCTGGGAAGGAGGTGCCCTGTCGCTGTCGCTGTGGCCTCCGCTTCCCATAGAAATAACACTTTCTTGGTTAATCCTCACTGGAGGGTATGTTTTCCATTAATTTTTAGACAGAATGGAAGGGAGAGGGAGAGACAGAGAGAAACATTGATGTGAGAGCGACGCATCGATTGGTTGCCTCCTACACGTGCCCTGACTGGGGCCGGGATGGAGCCTGCGACCCAGGTACATGCCCTTGACTGGAATCGAACCCAGGTCCCTCCAGTCTGAGGGCCAATGCTCTATCCATTGAGCTCTATCTGGCTGGGGCTTTTCCTTAAATTTTAAAAATTAAGTTAAATGTATTGAGTCTCTGCTAATAGTTCTGTTTTTGATGAAACCTACTCTTTATTTTCCTTTTGAAGTGCTTCTCTCTCTCTCTCTCTCTCTCTCTCTCTCTCTCTCTCTCTCTTTCCTAGAGGCCTGGTGCAGGAATTCATGCACAGGTGGAGTCCCTCAGGGTGGCCTTCCGGGATCTTGAAACCCACAGTCCAATGATGCCTGCTGCTCCTGCTTATCCTGGCCTAGCTGTGCCTGCTGTGGGCCCCCACCACTGCAATGGTGCTCACCAGCGTGAGCCCTGCATCTGGAGCCCATCCCAAGGGGGGTGGCTGGGATGCAATTGGCCCTCCGGGCAGGTGGTGGGACGCCCTTGCCAGCAGGGGATCCAGATCCATCCCACTGATGTTTGTGCAGGTTGTAGGGAGCCCCCTGGTGCCTGGTGGCTGCTTTTATATCATTTCTTCCTTGTGGAGTGTTTAAAGAGGGGAAGCGGCCGCAGTGCTGAGGCCGACTTTCAGGAGGCCAGCAGTGCTGTCAGGATCGTGCTGGCAGTGCCGGTCCATTGGTGCCTGGCCTGTTCTCCGGAGATTGGACCTGCAGGACTACTGAGGGAGTGAGTGGCTGCTGCCAGGCTGGTGGGCTGGGCTGCAGGGATGGGTCAGTCAGCTGAGCGGCACTCCCATTGTGGAAGCACACGCATCACCAGGGAGCAGCTCCCGCGTTGAGCGTCTGCCCCCTGGTGGTCAGTGTGCATCATAGTGACCTGTCAACTTGTCGTTCAGTCACTTAGGCTTTTATATATATATATACCGGAGGCCCAGTGCACAAAATTTGTGCACGGGGGAGGGGGTTGGGGGGGTTACCCCGGGTGGGGGGGTTACCCCTCAACCCAGTCTGCACCCTCTCCAATCTGGGACCCCTCAGGGGATGTCTGACTGCCAGTTTAGGCCTGATCCCTTGAATCAGGCCTAAACCGGCAGTTGGACATTCCTCTTATAATCCGGAATCATTGGCTCCTAACTGCCGGTCCATTGGTGCCTGGCCTGTTCTCCGGAGATTGGACCTGCAGGACTACTGAGGGAGTGAGTGGCTGCTGCCAGGCTGGTGGGCTGGGCTGCAGGGATGGGTCAGTCAGCTGAGCGGCACTCCCATTGTGGAAGCACACGCATCACCAGGGAGCAGCTCCCGCGTTGAGCGTCTGCCCCCTGGTGGTCAGTGTGCATCATAGTGACCTGTCAACTTGTCGTTCAGTCACTTAGGCTTTTATATATATATATACCGGAGGCCCAGTGCACAAAATTTGTGCACGGGGGAGGGGGTTGGGGGGGTTACCCCTCAACCCAGTCTGCACCCTCTCCAATCTGGGACCCCTCAGGGGATGTCTGACTGCCAGTTTAGGCCTGATCCCTTGAATCAGGCCTAAACCGGCAGTTGGACATTCCTCTTATAATCCGGAATCATTGGCTCCTAACTGCTTGCCTGCCTGCCTGCCTGATTGCCCCTAATCGCCTCTGCCTGCTGTCCTGATGCCCCTAACTCTCCCCCTGCCAGCCTGATCACCCCCAACTGCCCTCCCCTGCTGGCCTGATCGCCCCTAACTGCCTCTGCCTCGGCCCCTGCCACTGTGGCTTTGTCCGGAAGGACATCCGGAAAATGTCTGGTCTAATTAGCATATTACCCTTTTATTAGTATTGATAGATGTATTTATTTGATCCTCACCCAAGAATATATTTACTGATTTGAGAGCAAGAGAGGAAAGGAGAGAGAGAGAAACATTGACTGGTTGCCTCCCAAGGATTGAACTCAAAACCTAGGTATGTTCCCTGACTGGGAACTAAACCTGAAACCTTTTGTTGTGTGGATGACTCTCCAGCTGAATGAGCCACCCAGCCAGGGCAGTGCTTGCTCTTTAAACGTATAGTAATTTTAATCTGTGAACCTGAAGCATCCATCTTATATAAAAACTGCTGTTTGAAATTTTAACCCTGCATTTTGGCTTCTGTAAATGCTTCCTTGCTTAAATAATAAGGAAAATAAGATTAGTCCCCACTCCAGAGAGGCCATAA